TAGGCTAATCCCATAACCACTACCCTGAAACATAGAGTTTACTGGACTATCATTGTCAGAAGAGAGACATTTAGAAGAAAAAATATAAGCAAACTACGAAAGCTGCTTAATATTTAGTATACATTCATGTACTTGGAAACATACTGAGATCATTTTTTTTTTAATTTCAAACAGAACATGGGTACAGGAGGTATGATCTATTTATACTCCATTCAGTGTAGGGCTGCACCAGTCCTAGTAAAGCAAATGCAAACACAACAGACAGCCATGACAGTCATCCTAAATGCAGCATTTGGATCTAAACGCATTTACAAAATAAAATTACTAATTTAAAATAGTCCCATTCTTCCCCAGGTACAAGATTTAATTTCCCCACAGAAGCTGTGAATGAGTGGCATAAAGAAACAGAGAACAAGTTTCCAAAATCATTTACAGTTGCCCAGAAAGGATTACTTGCACCTTTTGGCCTATGTTTATTGTGTTTGCATTGGCTTGCACATTTCTTGTAAAAAGCTGCATTTTTTTTTTTATTAAATTTGGGCTTTCTAAATAGTCCTGAATGGATACAAAAGTAAAATTTCCTTCATGTATTCATCTATAAATATTTTCTTTCCACATTAAAAGAGACAGATCTAAAATGCTTTCTGACTATTTGAAATAGCAGCCTGGAAGAGACAGAGCTGGACTTTCCTTATTATGAATTTTCAAATGTGGTGCCCAGCAACTTTGCTGTTTCAAACAGCAGGCATGTCAACTATATGCCAAAATACATTTTGTTAGATATAACTTTAAATGTAATTAAAAACTGACTTTAAAAAAAAAAAAAAAAAAAAAAAAAAAAAAAAAAAAAAAAAAAAATCAATCAAATAAAACTACTTTGAAAGCTATTAAAAACTACTGAAAATTTGTTGGCCTTGTCAGATTCAATCAACCTAGCATTTGTTAACCCATTCATTAAAAAAATAAATGCCAAATGGCAAAATATGCGTTTTTTCCCTTCATTAAGCTTCAGATTTTTAAAAAGGGAAAATGTATTGAGAACGCTGGACGTCTTAAATCCAGATTGTACTCCATGTTTCCTCAATAGCCAAAACATTGCAGTATTTATTTCCCTAAAAGAAAGCTATTGGGGATGAGCACTAGCTACTACATCATGTTTTTGTTATTTTAAAACAATAATCAGGACAAGATAATATCAATGTAACCCTAAGGGAATTTGTCCATAGAAAAGGAAACTAGGTCAATGCAGGATAGGCTGGCAGAAACATAAATAAAAAGCACATAACTGAAACAGCATAAATGCAGTACAACTCCAGAAAAAAATGCCCAAAACAAAACAGGAAACCTGGAGAATACCCTCCACTGCCCCCTGTACCCAGGCAGAGCTGCTTGATTAATAAAAAAAAGGTGATTTGTGACTATATTCATCAATAAATGTTGTGAGTTAGTTGTTGGGAGTGGGGGGGATTAGATCAGATCGTTATTAAGATGGTCACACAGCAGCTTTTAAAGTAGTTATATATCTCAAAGTGACAAATGATTGTCAAAGTTTGAGCAGGAAGTGCAATAAATTACCATTTGTTAAACTGTGTTTTAGCCTTTTGTTGCTACACCCAACTACCATGAGTCTTGAACATATACAATGCATTATATGCATTGTATCCATTATGAATGGTGAACAGTTTACAACTAAGGTACAGTCTGAAACTTACTTCGTATAAAAACCAGGGAGACTCAATCCATAGTCCGAAGAGCATTTTCTACTCTCCTGACAGGCAATATCCTTGCCTCCTTTACATTACCCCTTTAAAAGAGTCAGCTAAAATGGCAAACCCCTTGCTTTTCCACATAACTAAACACTAGTTTTCACTAGGATGTTCTATGCAGTAAGAAAAGCAGCAGCTTTCTCCATTAAGATGTGACCCACATACTACAGGCTTGTACCAATCTTGCTAATATTTTCCAAAAAATGTATTCACAGAAGTGAGGACTAGTTCACAAGCAACAAGAACTAAATTTTCAGTTAAGAATTCAATTGATTGTATACCCAGAGGCCTTTGTTAAACAATGCTTATCATATACAGCTGAGTTTAGGATATGCTACTGGGCAAATACTGCACTAATACAAATGTGCATAATAGATTCAAGAATATAATCACAGTATACCATTTGAATTTAATTTTTAGTCTTTAAGATATCACCAAAGCGAGCACCAGCAACTCAAAGGCTCCATGGATGTTATTTAGCCACAATGGTAATGACGACTTCATCTTTCCTCCTGAAAGGGAAAATCTGTGGCCACAGAAAATGACGGTGCGCTGTATTTACCCAAATGCCAATTAAGACAACTCACCAATAATTAGATTCTATACATGGAAAATGTATAAATGTTATAATTTTCCATGTATAGAACTGTATTATTGGTCATTTAAAATTAATCACCTGCTTCCCTGACAGCATGGAAAGCAGTAGCAAGAAAGCAAA